GAAGGATCTCAAAAATCGACTCCAAATTTCATCTCCTTCTGCTCCTCCTGGCGGCCATTTCCAGCTCATTTGCATCTCATTTGCATATTCATAACTTGTGCCCATTTATTTGGCTCCATCCTTTTAATTTTGCTCCAAACACTCAAAGACCCCAAAAACGAACCCGACTTCAATTTCCTGCCCCTCCCTAATTTTCCTGGGGATGTTTGCATCTCATTTGCATATTATTTGCATAAACGCCCCTTTAATGCTCTCCAAACCATCTTTGATTCCCCAAAATCTCCCTAAAACGTCCCAAAATCTCCTCAAAATCTTTCTAAAATCCCCCCAAATCCCCTCAGTTCCACCCCAAACCCCTCCCGCTTCCTCATTTGCATCTAATTTGCATAAATACGACTTTAACACCCCCAAACCCCTCCCAACTCCTCCAAAATTGCCCTAAAATGCCCCAAAATCTCCTCAAATCCCCCCAAAACCTCCCAGGTCCCCACTTAGACCCCTCCCCAAATAACCACAATCCCCTCATTTGCATCTCATTTGCATAAACACCCACTTCAAACTCCTTAAACGCCAATTTCACACTTCTCAAGCCACCAAATCCCGCCCACATTTCCCACAATCCCCCCCAAAACTCTCAGGACCCCTCCCCCAAACCCTCCTTAGTGCCTCATTTGCATCTCATTTGCATAATTATGCATTTAACACCCCCAAACCCCTCCAAACTTCCCCAAATCCTCCTAAAATCTCCCAAAATCTCCTCAAAATCTTCCCTAAAATCCCCCCAGATCCCCTCAGTTCCACCCCAAAACCCCTCCCACTGCCTCATTTGCATCTCATTTACATCTCATTTGCATAAATGCGATTTTTTTACCTCTTATACCATCTCTAATTCCCAAAATCCCGCCCGAATTTCCCACAATCCCTCCCGAAAATTCCCACTCCTAAAGTGACCACACCCACTCCTAAAGTGACCACACCCACTCTTAAAGGGACCACACCCACTCTTAAAGTGACCACACCCACTCCTAAAGTGACCACACCCACTCCTAAAGTGACCACACCCACTCTTAAAGTGACCACCCCCACTCTTAAAGGAACCACATCCACATTAAAGGAACCACGCCCCTCAAAGCCACGCCCCCCGGGTTTTGTGGCCCCGCCCACCTTGTTGATCTTAGACTATAACTCTTCAACAGGCCACACCCACTCTTAAAGGAGCCACACCTCTCTTAAAGTGACCACACCCACCCTTAAAGGGACCACACCCACTCTTAAAATGACCACACCCACTCTTAAAGTGACCACATCCCCCTTAAAGACACCACGCCCCTCCAAGCCACACCTCTCGGGTTTTGTGGCCCCGCCCCCCGGTCGTGGCCCCGCCCCCCGGCGGTGGCCCCGCCCACCATGCCGATCTCGGCCTGCACCTCAGGCAGCTTGCGCTTGTAGCGCTGCACGTCGCCCTTGAGCTGGTGGTTGTGGTTCTGCAGCGAGCTGATCAGGTGCCGCATCTCGCGGTTAATGGGGCCTGCACAGGTGGGACAGGTGGGACAGGTGAGAGCACACAGGTGAGAGACAGGTGAGAGACAGGTGAGAGACAGGTGAGAGACAGGTGAGAGACAGGTGAGAGACAGGTGAGAGACAGGTGAGACAGGTGAGAGACAGGTGAGAGACAGGTGAGAGACAGGTGAGAGACAGGGGAGACAGGGGAGACAGGTGAGAGACAGGAGAGAGACAGGAGAGAGACAGGTGAGACAGGTGAGAGACAGGTGAGACAGGTGAGACAGGTGAGAGGTGAGACAGGTGAGAGACAGGTGAGACAGGTGAGACAGGTGAGACAGGTGAGAGACAGGTGAGAGACAGGTGAGAGACAGGTGAGAGACAGGTGAGAGACAGGTGAGAGACAGGTGAGAGACAGGTGAGAGACAGGTGAGAGACAGGTGAGAGACAGGTGAGAGACAGGTGAGAGACAGGTGAGAGACAGGTGAGAGACAGGTGAGAGACAGGTGAGAGACAGGTGAGAGACAGGTGAGAGACAGGTGAGACAGGTGAGAGACAGGTGAGAGCACACAGGTGACACAGGTGAGGGACAGGAGAGACAGGTGAGACAGGTGAGGCAAAAAACCCCAAGAAAATGACAAAAATCCCCAGGATTTTAGCCCAAAATTTGAATAAATTGGGTTATTTCAGTGTAAATCACTTTGAAGTTTTACCTGGGACAGGTGAGAGACACGTGAGACATGACAGGTGTGATCACACAGATGAGATACAGGTGACAGATACAATCACACAAGTGAGATCATACATGTGACACAGGTGTATCCCACAGGTACTCCCAGGTGTCCCTCACTTGTGCCCAGGTGTATCTCCGGTGTCCCCAGGTGTGCCCAGGTATCCCCAGCTGCCACCAGGTGTATCCCAGGTGTACATTATGACTCCCAGGTGTATCCCAGGTGTACATGATGACTCCCAGGTGTATCCCAGGTGTATCCCAGGTGTACATTATGACTCCCAGGTGTATCCCAGGTGTATCTCAGGTACCCCCAGGTGTGCCCTGGTGCTCCAGGTGTCCTCAGGTGTATCCCAGCTGCTCCCAGGTGCCCCCAGCTATGCCCAGGTGTATCCCAGGTGTCCTCAGGTGTATCCCAGCTACTCCTAGGTGCCCCAGGTGCATCTCAGGTGCCCCCACGTACCCCCAAATGTGCCCAGGTGTATCTCAGGTGTATCCCAGATGTGCCCAGCTGTGTCCAGGTGTATCCCAGGTGTATCTCAGGTACCTCAAGGTGTAAGTCAGGTACCCCCAGGTGTACCCCTGGTGCCCCAGGTGCCCCTCAGGTGTATCCCAGGTACGCCCCCCAGGTACCCCCAGGTGTATCCCAGGTGTATCTTAGGTGCCCCAGGTGTGCCCAGGTACCCCAGCTGTATCTCAGGTGCCCCCAGGTACCCCCAGGTGCCCCCAGGTGTATCCCAGGTACCTCCAGGTGTGCCCAGGTGTATCCCAGGTGTATCTCAGGTGCCCCCAGGAGCCCCCAGTTGTACCCTAGGTGTACCCCAGGTGTACTCCAGGTACCCCAGGTGCCCCCAGGTGTGCCCACGTGTATCTCAGGTGTACCCCAGGTACCCCCAGGTGTATCCCAGGTACCCCAGGTGTGCCCAGGTGTACCCCAGCTGCCCCCAGGTGTATCCCAGGTGCCCTCAGCTATACCCAGGTGTATCTCAGGTGTATCCCAGGTGCCCCCAGGTGTGCCCAGGTGTACCCCATGTGTATCTCAAGTGCCCCTCAGGTGCCCCCAGGTGTGCCCAGGTGTATCCCAGATACCCCAGGTGTCTCTCAGGTGTACCGAGGTGTATCCCAGGTACCTCAGGTGTACCCCAGGTGTATCCCAGGTGCCCTCAGCTATACCCAGGTGCCCCCAGGTGTATCCCAGGTGCCCCCAGGTGTGCCCAGGTGCCCCAGGTGTATCCCAAGTACCCCAGGTGTCCCCAGGTGTCTCCAGGTGTATCCCAGGTGCCCCCAGGTACCCCCAGGTGCCCCCAGGTGTATGTCAGGTGTGCCCAGGTGCTCCCCAGGTGCCCCGGTGCCCCCCAGGTACCCCAGGTGTATCTCAGGTGTACTGAGGTGTATCCCAGGTACCCCAGGTGTATCTCAGGTACCCCCGGTGCCCCCCAGGTGTATTTCAGGTGTGCCCAGGTGCCCCCCAGGTACCCCGTGCCCCCAGGTACCCCAGGTGTATCTCAGGTGTACTGAGGTGTATCCCAGGTACCCCAGGTGTATCTCAGGTGTACTGAGGTGTATCCCAGGTACCCCAGGTGTATCTCAGGTACCCCCGGTGCCCCCCAGGTGTATTTCAGGTGTGCCCAGGTGCCCCCCAGGTACCCCGTGCCCCCAGGTACCCCAGGTGTATCTCAGGTGTACTGAGGTGTATCCCAGGTACCCCAGGTGTATCTCAGGTGTACTGAGGTGTATCCCAGGTACCCCAGGTGTATCTCAGGTACCCCCGGTGCCCCCCAGGTGTATTTCAGGTGTGCCCAGGTGCCCCCCAGGTACCCCGTGCCCCCAGGTACCCCAGGTGTATCTCAGGTGTACTGAGGTGTATCCCAGGTACCCCAGGTGTATCTCAGGTGTACTGAGGTGTATCCCAGGTACCCCAGGTGTATCTCAGGTACCCCCGGTGCCCCCCAGGTGTATTTCAGGTGTGCCCAGGTGCCCCCCAGGTACCCCGTGCCCCCAGGTACCCCAGGTGTATCTCAGGTGTACTGAGGTGTATCCCAGGTACCCCAGGTGTATCTCAGGTGTACTGAGGTGTATCCCAGGTACCCCAGGTGTATCTCAGGTACCCCCGGTGCCCCCCAGGTGTATTTCAGGTGTGCCCAGGTGCCCCCCAGGTACCCCGTGCCCCCAGGTACCCCAGGTGTATCTCAGGTGTACTGAGGTGTATCCCAGGTACCCCAGGTGTATCTCAGGTGTACTGAGGTGTATCCCAGGTACCCCAGGTGTATCTCAGGTACCCCCGGTGCCCCCCAGGTGTATTTCAGGTGTGCCCAGGTGCCCCCCAGGTACCCCGTGCCCCCAGGTACCCCAGGTGTATCTCAGGTGTACTGAGGTGTATCCCAGGTACCCCAGGTGTATCTCAGGTGTACTGAGGTGTATCCCAGGTACCCCAGGTGTATCTCAGGTACCCCCGGTGCCCCCCAGGTGTATTTCAGGTGTGCCCAGGTGCCCCCCAGGTACCCCGTGCCCCCAGGTACCCCAGGTGTATCTCAGGTGTACTGAGGTGTATCCCAGGTACCCCAGGTGTATCTCAGGTGTACTGAGGTGTATCCCAGGTACCCCAGGTGTATCTCAGGTACCCCCGGTGCCCCCCAGGTGTATTTCAGGTGTGCCCAGGTGCCCCCCAGGTACCCCGTGCCCCCAGGTACCCCAGGTGTATCTCAGGTGTACTGAGGTGTATCCCAGGTACCCCAGGTGTATCTCAGGTGTACTGAGGTGTATCCCAGGTACCCCAGGTGTATCTCAGGTACCCCCGGTGCCCCCCAGGTGTATTTCAGGTGTGCCCAGGTGCCCCCCAGGTACCCCGTGCCCCCAGGTACCCCAGGTGTATCTCAGGTGTACTGAGGTGTATCCCAGGTACCCCAGGTGTATCTCAGGTGTACTGAGGTGTATCCCAGGTACCCCAGGTGTATCTCAGGTACCCCCGGTGCCCCCCAGGTGTATTTCAGGTGTGCCCAGGTGCCCCCCAGGTACCCCGTGCCCCCAGGTACCCCAGGTGTATCTCAGGTGTACTGAGGTGTATCCCAGGTACCCCAGGTGTATCTCAGGTGTACTGAGGTGTATCCCAGGTACCCCAGGTGTATCTCAGGTACCCCCGGTGCCCCCCAGGTGTATTTCAGGTGTGCCCAGGTGCCCCCCAGGTACCCCGTGCCCCCAGGTACCCCAGGTGTATCTCAGGTGTACTGAGGTGTATCCCAGGTACCCCAGGTGTATCTCAGGTGTACTGAGGTGTATCCCAGGTACCCCAGGTGTATCTCAGGTACCCCCGGTGCCCCCCAGGTGTATTTCAGGTGTGCCCAGGTGCCCCCCAGGTACCCCGTGCCCCCAGGTACCCCAGGTGTATCTCAGGTGTACTGAGGTGTATCCCAGGTACCCCAGGTGTATCTCAGGTGTACTGAGGTGTATCCCAGGTACCCCAGGTGTATCTCAGGTACCCCCGGTGCCCCCCAGGTGTATTTCAGGTGTGCCCAGGTGCCCCCCAGGTACCCCGTGCCCCCAGGTACCCCAGGTGTATCTCAGGTGTACTGAGGTGTATCCCAGGTACCCCAGGTGTATCTCAGGTGTACTGAGGTGTATCCCAGGTACCCCAGGTGTATCTCAGGTACCCCCGGTGCCCCCCAGGTGTATTTCAGGTGTGCCCAGGTGCCCCCCAGGTACCCCGTGCCCCCAGGTACCCCAGGTGTATCTCAGGTGTACTGAGGTGTATCCCAGGTACCCCAGGTGTATCTCAGGTGTACTGAGGTGTATCCCAGGTACCCCAGGTGTATCTCAGGTACCCCCGGTGCCCCCCGAGAGACAGGTGAGAGACAGGTGAGAGACAGGTGAGAGACAGGTGAGAGACAGGTGAGAGACAGGTGAGAGACAGGTGAGAGACAGGTGAGACAGGTGAGAGACAGGTGAGAGCACACAGGTGACACAGGTGAGGGACAGGAGAGACAGGTGAGACAGGTGAGGCAAAAAACCCGAAGAAAATGACAAAAATCCCCAGGATTTTAGCCCAAAATTTGAATAAATTGGGTTATTTCAGTGTAAATCACTTTGAAGTTTTACCTGGGACAGGTGAGAGACACGTGAGACATGACAGGTGTGATCACACAGATGAGATACAGGTGACAGATACAATCACACAAGTGAGATCATACATGTGACACAGGTGTATCCCACAGGTACTCCCAGGTGTCCCTCACTTGTGCCCAGGTGTATCTCCGGTGTCCCCAGGTGTGCCCAGGTATCCCCAGCTGCCACCAGGTGTATCCCAGGTGTACATTATGACTCCCAGGTGTATCCCAGGTGTACATGATGACTCCCAGGTGTATCCCAGGTGTATCCCAGGTGTACATTATGACTCCCAGGTGTATCCCAGGTGTATCTCAGGTACCCCCAGGTGTGCCCTGGTGCTCCAGGTGTCCTCAGGTGTATCCCAGCTGCTCCCAGGTGCCCCCAGCTATGCCCAGGTGTATCCCAGGTGTCCTCAGGTGTATCCCAGCTGCTCCCAGGTGCCCCCAGCTATGCCCAGGTGTATCCCAGGTGTCCTCAGGTGTATCCCAGCTACTCCTAGGTGCCCCAGGTGCATCTCAGGTGCCCCCACGTACCCCCAAATGTGCCCAGGTGTATCTCAGGTGTATCCCAGATGTGCCCAGCTGTGTCCAGGTGTATCCCAGGTGTATCTCAGGTACCTCAAGGTGTAAGTCAGGTACCCCCAGGTGTACCCCTGGTGCCCCAGGTGCCCCTCAGGTGTATCCCAGGTACGCCCCCCAGGTACCCCCAGGTGTATCCCAGGTGTATCTTAGGTGCCCCAGGTGTGCCCAGGTACCCCAGCTGTATCTCAGGTGCCCCCAGGTACCCCCAGGTGCCCCCAGGTGTATCCCAGGTACCTCCAGGTGTGCCCAGGTGTATCCCAGGTGTATCTCAGGTGCCCCCAGGAGCCCCCAGTTGTACCCTAGGTGTACCCCAGGTGTACTCCAGGTACCCCAGGTGCCCCCAGGTGTGCCCACGTGTATCTCAGGTGTAGGATTGATGGCACCAGTGGCAGCCATCTTGAACAAGGCATTATGGGATTTATGGCACTGGTGGCCATCTTGGACGAGGCATCATGGGATTCATGGCACTGGCAGGCATCTTGGATGAGGCATCATGGGATTGATGGCAGCCATCTTGGATGAAGCATTATGGGATTTACAGCACTGGCAGCCATGTTAGATGAGGCATCATGGGATTGACGGCACTGGCAGCCATCTTACATGAGGCATCATGGGATTGAGGGCAGCCATCTTGGGTGAGGCATTATGGGATTGATGGCACTGGCAGCCATCTTTGATGAGGCATCATGGGATTGATGGCACCAGTGGCAGCCATCTTGAACAAGGCATTACAGGATTGATGGCACTGGCAGCCATCTTACATGAGGCATCATGGGATTCATGGCACTGGCAGCCATCTTGGATAAGGTATTGTGGGATTGAGGGCACTGGCAGCCATCTTGGATGAGGTATTGTGGGATTGATGACCCTGGCAACCATCTTGGATGAGGCATTATGGGGTTGATGGCACCAGTGGCAGCCATCTTGAACAAGGCATTACGGGATTGATGGCACTGGCAGCCATCTTTGATGAGGCATCATGGGATTGAGGGCACAGGCAGCCATTTTGAATGAGGCATTAGGGGATTGATGGTGCTGGCAGCCATCTTGGATGAGGCATTATGGGATTTACAGCACTGGCAGCCATGTTAGATGAGGTATCATGGGATTTATGGCACCGACAGCCATCTTGGATGAGGCATCATGGGATCGATGGCGCCGGCAGCCATCTTGGATTGGAATTACTGAGATTTAAAGTCCACAAATGACCCCAAAACCCAACGGGACCCCCCCGGGGGACACCCTGGGGACACCTGGGCAGGTGAGGCCCCACCTCCACGTGCTCCATGTGGCGCAGGCGGCCATCTTGGATGAGGCATTACGGGACTTCCACAACCCCAAACCACCCAGAATGACCCCAAACCACCCCAGAACCCCACGGGACCCCCCGGGGGACACCTGAGGACACCTGGGCAGGTGAGGCCCCACCTCCATGTGCTCGATGTGGCGCAGGTGGCTGTTCTTGGTGGCCAGCAGCAGCGCCCGCGCCTCGTCCAGCTGCGTCTTCACCTGCAGGCTCTCGTGGTAGAGCAGCGAGAACTGCGACTGCAGCACCTTGTACTCCAGGGCCTCCTTCAAGAACTTTTCACATTATTTTTCCTCAGCTTAAGCTTCCCTAATTCCCAAAAATAATCTCAATTTTTTTTTCATTTTTTTTGCATTTTTTACCATTTTTTAAATTTTAATTTGATTTTTGAATGATTTTTTTTTAATTTCCCCCTATTTTTTAACAGTTCAGGCTTTTTCCTTGAACTTCTAAAAGATTTTTAACGAATTTCTTGATGTTTTTAAAATATATTTTAATTTTTTTACACATTTAATGAATTTTTTTTAAATTGCTTTTATATTTTTAAATTTTTTTTTCCCACAAATTCCCCCAAATTTATTCAGATTTTTTAGGGAATTTTTGGGATTTTTGGAGAATTTTTAAAAAAGATTTTTCCAGGTTTAAAAAAAAAAAAAATTAAAAATTGGCGGCCATTTTGGATGAGGCATCATGGGATTGATGGCAGCCATCTTGGGTGAGGCATCATGGGATTGATGGCAGCCATCTTGGGTGAGGCATCATGGGATTGATGGCAGCCATCTTGGGTGAGGCATCATGGGCTTGATGGCAGCCATCTTGGGTGAGGCATCATGGGATTGATGGCAGCCATCTTGGGTGAGGCATCATGGGATCAATGGCACCGGCAGCCATCTTGAACAAGGCATTATGGGATTTATGGCACTGACAGCCATCTTGGATGAAGCATTGTGGGATTCATGGCACTAGCAGCCATCTTGGATGAGGCATGATGGGATTTACAGCACCAGCAGCCATCTTGGATGAGGCATTATGGGATTGATGGCACTGGCAGCCATCTTGGATGAGGCATCATGGGATCGATGGCACCGGCAGCCATCTTGGATTGGAATGATTGGGATTTAAAGTCCTCAAATGACCCCAAAACCCAACGGGACCCCCCTGGGGGACACCTTGGTCTTGGGTGAGGCATCATGGGATTGATGGCAGCCATCTTGGGTGAGGCATCATGGGATCAATGGCACCGGCAGCCATCTTGAACAAGGCATTATGGGATTTATGGCACTGACAGCCATCTTGGATGAAGCATTGTGGGATTCATGGCACTAGCAGCCATCTTGGATGAGGCATGATGGGATTTACAGCACCAGCAGCCATCTTGGATGAGGCATTATGGGATTTACAGCACAGGCAGCCATGTTAGATGAGGCATCATGGGATTTATGGCACTGGTGGCAGCCATCTTGGATGAGGCATTATGGGATTGATGGCACTGGCAGCCATCTTGGATGAGGCATCATGGGATCGATGGCACCGGCAGCCATCTTGGATTGGAATGATTGGGATTTAAAGTCCTCAAATGACCCCAAAACCCAACGGGACCCCCCTGGGGGACACCTTGGGGACACCTGGGCAGGTGAGGCCCCACCTCCATGTGCTCCATGTGGCGCAGGCGGCCATCTTGGATGAGGCACTATGGGATTTTGAGTGACACCTGAGTCACCCGTGACCTTCCTACACTGATCTAACCAGACCTGAGTGACACCTGAGCACACCTGAGTGATGTCAGTGACACCTGAGTGACACCTGAGTGACCTCTGATACACCTGAGTGACACCTGAGTCACCCGTGACCTTCCTACACTGATCTAACCAGACCTGAGTGACACCTGAGCACACCTGAGTGATGTCAGTGACACCTGAGTGACACCTGAGTGACACCTGAGTGACGTCAGTGACACCTGAGTGACACCTGCAGCACCTTGTACTCCAGGGCCTCCTTCACCGCCTCCTCGGGCAGCGAGCGCAGAGCCACCTGGGCAGGTAGAGCACACCTGGGTCACCCGAGTGACACCTGAGTGACACCTGAGTGACACCTGAGTGACCTCAGTGACACCTTGAGTGACACCTGAGTGACACCTGAGTGACACCTGAGTGACGTCAGTGACACCTGAGTGACACCTGAGTGACGTCAGTGACACCTGAGTGACGTCAGTGACACCTGAGTGACACCTGCAGCACCTTGTACTCCAGGGCCTCCTTCACCGCCTCCTCGGGCAGCGAGCGCAGAGCCACCTGGGGGACACCTGAGTGTCACCTGGGGCACCTGAGTGTCACCTGAGTGACACCTGAGTGACACCTGAGTGACACCTGAGTGACACCTGAGTGACACCTGAGTGACACCTGAGTCACCTGTGACCTCCCTACACTGATCTAACCACACCTGAGTGACACCTGAGCACACCTGAGTCATCTGAGTGACACCTGAGTGACGTCAGTGACACCTGAGTCACCTGAGTGTCACCTGACTGACACCTGAGTCATTTGTGTGACACCTGAGTGACAACTGAGTGACCTCAGGGACACCTGAGTGGCACCTGAGTGACCCCTGAGTGACACCTCAGTGACACCTGAGTGACACCTGTGACCTCCTACACTGACCTAAACACACCTGAGTGACACCTGAGTGACACCTCAGTGACACCTGAGTGACGTTAGTGACACCTGAGTGACACCTGAGTGACACCTGAGGCACCTGTGACCTCCCTATACTGATCTAACCACACCTGAGTCATCTGAGTGACACCTGAGTGACGTCAGTGACACCTGAGTGACACCTG